CAATTTGAGTCCAATCTGAGTCCAATTTGAGTCCAATCTGAGTCCAATTTGAGTCTCTCATTTGAGTGGCTTTGGAATCTGAGTTTCTGGTCTGAGTTCGTTTTGAGTAGGTTGTTGTTTTTTATTTTTTCATCTTGACCCCTGGCTGTCTGGGTCCGCGTTATCTTAAAACTAGATGAGCCGCGCGCCACCGATTACGGAGTGCACCGTCGTCTGGCGCGGTGCTAGCGCGCGGCTTGCACAAAAAATCGCTGGTAATTGAGTAGCAAATCGCGGTCATATCAATCATAGAGCCCTGCCTGGCAGGGGCCCGCTTCTGAGCGAATATAATGCAAATATCTAAAATGTATGCTGCCCATGAAACATGACACTTGATCATCCTTCTACTAGGGGCCGAGAGGTTTTTGAACAAAATTCTTTTCAGAACTCACACATGAATGACACACACATGAGATGAGAGCACACACATATAAGTAGACACGTGAGCTTTTGTGGGCTGAGGTCATGGAAAGTTATGTTAAATGTATATTATTATCGTTTTCTGGTTTTGGACAACCATGGGTGCACATATGGAAACATATGGTCTGTTTTACACACCTGTGGACACGTGACACAACGTTCAAAAAACTGCACTCTGAGCTGCTTGTTGGGCAGCGCTTCCTTTCTTTTTCAAGCGATTTCTCTCCTGCGCCGCTCGGGCATCTGCATCGATCTCTCTAAAGGCTGCATCCGGCCCATCAGGTAGCAAAGGGAGGTGTTTCGCCAATGTTGGTCTCATCGTGCCGGACTGCAGTCCAGTAGCCATGCCTGTATTCAGGGGGAGTGTCATCTGATTCTGTCAACTCTAACCTGGGGGCCAGACCCACTGCGCAGTCTACATGGAGGAAAACTGCCATCAAAGACTTTGACACCGAAGTGCGTCCTTCCAAGGGCTGGCACAGCACTTACACAGTAGGACTCGGTGATCGAAACCCCTTCTGCCCTCCTTGCTGGTACCTTTGGAAGAATGGAGCTGTTAGATCTCGAGCTCTTTGCTCGTCGACGCTCACCAGGAAAGATCTTTCAACTGACTGAGCTCGATGACGTCTACTTGTCGGGCATGGGCAAATAGCCATGTACGTTGCAAACGAGCTAAGCAATCGATTGGCTGCAGGCTTCATGTGCTTTCTACACCCCACAGCGTTCTAACTTCTGCTTGCTGCTGAACAGGGAGCTTGAAGCAGTTGTACCACGTGTTCTCATGCGCCAATGCTACAATGTGGCCCACTGTCAGAAACAAGGTTGATGACCTCCACGGTTCCGATACCTCTTCTTTGCTTCATGGCAAGCTCCTAGCACTGATGTGTGATCCAAAATGGAACTCAAAATCAAGACATGTGTAGGCAGCACTTCTGCAGAATCGTTGGATGCTCTCTCAGCACGCACAGAGCAACAAATGGATATCTTCACGCGGCGTAAAATTGTTCAGGTCGCTCGAACAGGCAGCGTGAACAGTTCCTTCCAGTCACCGAGACCAGTAAGGTGCCCCACATGTGGTTCTTCCAGAATATAGATGAAAAATATATGAATCTAAGACTTTGGACATTGCAGCTCTCCATGAAACTGCATGCTCTCCAAGGCTCTCTCTGCAAGGGTATACGAGCACTCCCCAACTCGCCCACGAAATTTAAGAGCACACATAGAGGTTCACAGATTGCCGAGCTTGCTGCAAACGGCACTTTGGGGTTCACATAACGGCTAAATGCTGCATAGAAAAGAAATCTGCACATCAAGAATCACATCGCCCAGCCCTGTCAGCGCGCTTCGCCGCTTCGCAACAAAAGTGCCTCCAAAGATTCCGCCAACGAGCCGCAATGTCACATGTCCAGCAACTCAGAGCACGCCAAAGACCACCGCCAAGTCCAGAGTGCTGTGCCCGCCAAGAAATCTGCAGATTGAAATAAAACGGCTCCGATCTCCTGCGCCGGCACCTGGCACGAAAAGTGACCACCATGTCCGAAAATGCGTACGGCGCCACAACCAGGGCTCCAGAAGCATGAATGCCGCCCGTGAGCACCATCAATCAACCTTAACCTTAACCCTTACCGTAAGAACCTCTAGTGCGACTACACTTTGCGATGGAAAAAAGACCAGTCGAGCCCTGTTAGATCAATTCCCATACAAAGATTTTGTTTTGGTCTTACGGGCCCGTCATAAGTCACTAATATGGCAAGTTACGGATTCGGATGTAACACGGCTTGCACATGCCTTTCACTTGCAATTGAATGGCGCTAAATGTCCTGTCCGCGAATGAAACACAAAACTATTACATAGTGGAAGTGCGCAAGTTCTTTGTGGCTCGACTGCTGGGCAAGGATGGAAAAATGATGAAACTAATGTCAAAAGCATGATCAATATTGAACAAGACAACGACGCATTCTATTTGTTGACATCTACCAGAGACCACATCTGAACGATTCAAGCTCCACGAGAGTGCCTCTTGCCGCCTGGGTAGTTCCATCTTGAGGCGCAAAAGGCTTGGCATGCAAAGGAGATACAACAGGCAAGCACCGAAAGCACTGCACTGAACATTTTTACTTCAGCTTTCAGTTCATCCACACCTACCAGCTGCTAAAGCTTCAACCCAAGGAATGACAGGGCCTTCTTGGCAACCCCACGCTGCCAAGCTACATGGCAGAAATAGATCAAGTAGCAGCCGAACTAGCAGCCGACTTTTTCATCAAAAGTTCTCAACCGCCAGTGGTTAGGCGCCTTCGGCGGCAGCTTTCTGGCCACACTGCGCTTGGAAAACGTGGAACTTCGCACAGCCAACGCGTGACGTTCACCGTTCGGTGATTCAACGTGTGATAATCAATCACTTCTACGAAGCAGCGTGCGCTCAGCCTTAGCCTTGAGCCTCGTGGTACCACAAGAGTTTTATAAAATAATGATTCCGGATTCCTGATTGCTTTTAACTATCAATGACTCGCACATCCAGAAACGCTGCGCTGCATTCACCGCTTGTCAAAAATTGACTTCGGTGGAGGTCTGGAAGATGCCAAGCTGGAATCGCCGGTTGCTTGGGCAACTCCTGCTCGCAGGTCATATATCTGCTCACTGATCTGCTCTAAGGTCGCATACACCGCTTTGGTTGCCAGGAGCGTGGCAACCGTATCAGTCTTCCTTAGACTTCAGCCCAGGTCGGCATGAAGGAACGCTCGTCGGAGCATGTCGGAGCATCATTTGGCCAAAAAGAAATTAGGAGCGGAGTGAGGGCAATGAAGGCAGGGCCACCACAAACAGCAGTGGTGAAAAAGTCAGGTGTTTGTCAGTCTGCTATAAGCTGCTCACTGTCCACCATGAAGCACCTTGCAACATCCTTATCGACATTTGATGCCCATATGCTAGCCCATTGTCCAACATGCTGGTTTCCGCATGGCCCACTGAATTGACCGGCAAGAAGTGTTGTGTCGCAACCCACAGGCAGGAAAATAGAGTATATTGTATAACATTGTATACATGAGACATAACACAATTCATACATATTCAGACTCTCAAAGTGCGCTCGCGCAAAATCAGGCGAGGTAAGGGAACCCGTCGGAGATTGAACAAAATTTCTCAACAACTTAACAAGCAAAACAAATTGACTTGAGCAACTGAGTTGAACAAGGCAAGGTATGAAGTCAATTGTGACATACAGGTGAATTGATGTGAATCGCACATGTGGGCATCCTGATTCAAACTGCAGAGCGTGAAAGGGATGACAAAGAGCCTCCTGGGAGCACCCTGGGAGAGTTCATTCAAGATATTTAAGAGAACAGAGGAGGTCAAACGGTCAAACGTCTGAAGCATCAATCCAATGTATTTCCCTCCTGGCCACCTAACAGCGACGTCAGCTAGCTACAGTATATACATGCTGTTGAATAAAAGCCCGTTCATGGGTATGGTATGGTCAATCGACTACACCCTATGGACGAGGAGGAGCAATGTACCACCAACATCCAGCAGCTTTTCTCACGATATGCAATGCAGCCTCTGACACCATACTGGGAAAAATCACAAAGCGGACAATACTAGGACTGCCTCTAGCTGAAGTTGCAAATGTCTCTGGCCCAATGAAGTGCGACTGAATGAAATGGCACTGGACCAAACAGGTACGAGGCTCTTGAGCTCTCCTCGAACCTTCAAAAGGCCTTGGGCCAATTCCGCCAGGTGAAGAGTTCCACTGCTGTCGGCATCAAGTGCCTCGAAAAGGTTAGCACGATCTTTGGGAAGGTCTAGATCATCCATGAGCCGCTGAACTTGCCTGTCCTCACAGAACCGGACAGGAGTAACTCGAAAACAAATACTTCTGTCATCTCCGGTCTCAGGTTGCAATGTTTTACACATAGCTCGGGTTAGTAAATGCAATAACTATTCCAAAAATCCCAATGAATGGTAATTAACTACTATCAAGAATGCCAATGCTTTCACAACTCCGATAAAAATGCATACATAAGTGACTAAGTGCATACATACTCCGGACTCCAGCAAGATGCAGCAGAAGGGTTAAGTTTCCCTAAAAATCTAGCAACCAAATCATTAGCGCATGTGCTTCTTCAAGGAAGCTGTTTGCCGCCCTCGGGCGGGGGGAGCTTCCTGGAAGAGGCGTGAGCTATCCTGCATCCAAACACTAGAAGCTAACTAGTCGCCCTTACTTAATCAAGTCCACGGGCAAAAAATACGGAAATAACAGGAACTAAGAAAAATACGCTTAAACCATATGCATCCACAATTGTGGCATCCACAAGTTGTCGATGTGCCACCTGGCCTGGATGACAAGAAGAAAAAGCTCTTTGCTGATCTGGATTTCGTCAGGATGTCCCTCTTCATCATCACCGGTCATTGATGACTTTTCTCGGGCAGACAACGTCTGGGACATTGTTGCATCCTGAGGTGTGACCAACTGCACGTGCATTATATATATAAGATGTTTCTTACTGTACATCTGGCTGGCAGTGGATCGAACTAGTAACTAGATTCTAGACGAAGATTTGAATAGTGGTGTCCTCTTCTTCGTCGTTGTCCATATCGCGGCGGCGTGCTTCATCTGCCATCTTGAACTTCCTTGGTCACGAATGTCAAGCCGCCCCGGGAGGTCCCTCTCTCTCTCTCTCTCTCTCTATCCAAGTCCAAAGAGATGTTGATGCAACAAATCTCGGACAAAAACAACAGCTGAATCTGAAGCCGGGCTCTTCACCAGTTCCCGCGTAAGTCGCGCCACCCGGATGGACTCTCGTTCATGTTGCTCACTCGTCCTCGCCTCGTTCTCGCGTGCTGCCTGAACCAGTGAAAGCCCCGGTTCATGCGTTCACCAGCATTGTAATTTCTATCTATGGAGCTATCAACCCTTCAGGAAGACATCGTGGAAAGGCAATGGAGGATTTTCTTGAATTGCAACTCACTGATTGTTCTAGCCTGCTACTGACACAATGACAAACGTGGCCAGCTATCCAGTCAGAAAAATACAGGGCATTCATCGTCAACTAGAAGATCTAGAAGATGTGGCGAATTTTGGCAGACCATCGCATCCCATCAGCTATCACAACTGCTCGCACGCCTTCATTGTGATATCCACCTTGCATGGGCAGCTTCAGAGAAAGTCTGAGAAAAGTGCGAACCCATCACGATGCATTAGAGTAGTAGAATAGGGAGGCCCCACCACCACTGGGTTTCAGTCCATCTCTCGATTTAGAAAGCCTTTGCGCGGTGGCTTCAAAATGAATTAAGACCCTGCCGTCTAAGGCACATAAACAGCGAGGATCACGTTGTAGATGCCTCACACGCATCTTTCGCATCATGCATTTCATGATGCCAAACTCATCGGATGGACTTGGGAGTTGGCACCAAGCCTTCTTGAAGACTACTCTTTTTGTACCTCTTTCCCCTCACTGGATATGTTGCTGCTTGAATAATTATCCGGGTGTGGGACAAATCAACCAATAGGCTCATGAAAATACGTTACGACCAACATCAACATATACATACATACATACATACATACATACATACATACATACATACATA